GCTTTAACCTGGTCATCAATCTCCACTTTTCCATCTGCAGACCTGAGGGCAGGGATTAGCTCCTGAGTCCTTTTAGTACTTCGTATATAACCATATAGAATTTTCGGATGCACCAACGAATTTCGGAGTATGTTTAGTTCAAACTTCTTTCGCAGCTTTGAGGCCTCACTTTTACAGACGTTTCGTTGCCGCTTATATTCCTGTAAGTGTCCTACGGAGCCAGTTTGCCTGTAACGCCTCCACAGACGATTCCTTTTTTTGAAACAGGCCTTTAAGTCCGGGTTTATCCATTTTGGGCGGTTTGTGATTGTCTTTCTTCTGAGAGGACAATTGGAATAAACAATCTCTTTCAGTAAGGAACTGAAAGTATTCCAGTTATCGTTTGCTCGACCATGCAGTTCAGTCTCCCATGATATAGCTGCCGCTTCCCTCCTCATGAGAGAATAGTCACCTTTCCAAATGTTTCTCTCCCACTTATCGGGTTGGACGGGTTTGGAAAACAGTGAGTACTCGAAGTAGAGCGTGATGTGGTCGCTTGACCCTAATGGCTGTCGGTCCTGCAGGTCTAACACATTTTCCTCCTCTCGGGTAAAAATAAGATCAAGGCAGTTCGACTGCTGTCCTTCCCTGACCCGTGTTCCAAAGGTAACATTCTGGCAGAGAAGTTTGTCCGTTGCCCATTGTAGTAGTTTGTGATTAAAGCTGTCTTGCGGCCCTTGTGCAGTCCACGTTAGCCAATCAATGCCAGGAGCGTTAAAATCCCCAACGATAAGGACGTCTTTCTTCTCGCTGGTTTTGTACAGTTCGGATATGAGCATGAGATATTGGTCAGAAGTATGGTTAGGTGAACGGTACACTACCGAAAGCGTCAATGATCGGACATTCTTAGTAGATATGGTAACGCTTAGCAGTTCCACATCCCGTACCGGTCTGTGTACATCAGCCATAGCGCTTAGCTTGCAAGTGACATAAATTATGACTCCTCCTCCTCGGCTTAGTCTATCTCTCCTGAATTGCTGATATCCTCTAAGTGATATTTCTGAATCTGCGATATCTTCTGTAAGCCATGTTTCTGTGAATGCCATAATGTCTGGCTTAATTTCATCAACTAAGTCTCCTAGTTCGTCTAGTTTGTTGAAGAGGCTTTGCACATTTGCGGATATAACCTTCAATGACTGATTTGTTGGAGAGGCCCGGCCTTCATTGTGACGGGTTCTGACCACAGGAAAGACCCCTTTGTTTGGACTATTTGTCTATTTTTGATCTTCAGCCCTTTCTCTCCTCTGCCAATTATCTCCTTCAATTCTGATCTCAGTTCTCTCATTTTCAGTCTTTCCCTCGGTTCGTAGTCTGGTTGAAAAAACACTTCCTTGTGCGAGTTGCGTAAGGTCGTTCTACTTTCTAACAAAAGCGCTGCTTGGGCTTCGTTTTCCAAAATAACTTTTGGGGGTCTTGGGGATGTTTTTAGGTCACGATTTGGGTCCGCTCAGTCTAGTCGGAAAGCTTTTTTAACGGTGAATATTTCCCCATCCTTCAGGACGGCACTGGCGTACTGATGAAGAAGGTCTAGGTCGTGCGTCACTCGTTCCTTCGGAATGCAGGACGTGGACTCTGGGGCGCCCCTTATGACAATATTTTGCTTACGATTTATGGAAGAGCTCATTACTGTCCCGTCCGCGCTAGGACGATATAATGCTACTGTAGTATTCCCGACGGCTGTTGTCACTTCGACATTTGAATGATTTTCGGTCGGCGAAGGGAGTTAAGAGCATGGATTTTCATGTGACGTACTTGCTTCGGCAGTGGAGCTCTTACAATCATTACCCTGTTGCAATGTACTGCACGAAGGCTTATCGTGTCCTTTTCCATAAACGGAATGGTTAGGGCACTTTCCAGATGAGTTAGCCTTGTGAAGAAGTGGAGTAACAGCATTGCCTTCCAAGAATAACGGCGAGTCCTTGTAGTTTCTAACAGATCCTCTGAGGGTCATCCTGGCTTTCCCAACTTTAGTGTTCGATGATTTGGCAGGTTTAGTTACTAATGCAGGTAATGGAACCTGACTTATCTTTAATGCACTAGCGTCGACCGCCGCTTTATCCACCGGAACTGATTTGTCTAGAGTTTCCTCTGGAGACATAACTCGCTTCCTCTTCCTGACTGGCTTTGACATTTCCGCGCTAGCGCCTTTATTAGTAGGATGTTCGTCGCCGATCGATCGAAAATTTGGCGGATTATTTGGTAATTCTATCTTACTGTGCTTCAGAATAGCCATGATGATGTCCGTCAGTAGGCCTTGCTTCTCTTCTAGCGTCTGAACCCGCTTCTCAAGTTCCTTGCAGCCGACACAGCGACCGACAAGCGCAGAATCCGTCCCGTCTGTCATACAGTTTTCGAGGCCTCTTGGCAGTGCATCGGTTCTTATTTCCTGTCTTATCTCTTCGAGCCTATTGTGCGTAATCTCCCTGGAGTCTAATGATTCCAGCGGCATTTTATCGCAAGAGACTGCTAATGAATTAAAGACCGTTTTCAGCTGCTCTTCTGTAGTTGATAAACATATCTGACTAGCGCCAAACCGTTCATCGATAGCGCAGTGGCTAACACTGTGGCCTCCGAGACCGCAGGTACCGAGTTCAAATCCCGGTTGGTTGGACGGTTGCAAATATCTTTTGATGGAGAATTTGTGGTATACTTCACCGGCACCCACCTCCTCCAGTTGGCCTTGTTCGCAGAACCATGTTTCGTTGAGTGGGTCGATATCCACCTTGTAGCGCGCAAGTTCCCGAGCCACTAGCGCCGCCCTCCATTTCGGTCGGCTGCTCCTGGGATTGCCTAAAGGGGAACGAACGTTCCAAGCTGTTAGAGTGAGCGGGCTCATCCTACCACTCTGGTTATTGGGGGGGCGGTGAGGAGGAAGAGGGAGAGAGAGGGAGTGCTGTTTCGATTCTGGTTGTTTCGACCGGGAGTTTAATGTCTGCGACCACGGTCAGCCTGCAGACGACGTGGTCCCCCAGCATTTGTTTAGGGTACCTTTGATGGGACCCCAACGGGTCTTTAATAAAAAATTATTATTATCTTGTCTATCTCCCTCCCCCTCGCAGGGGTGGGCAG